CTGGAAAAGCAGGCCCTGTGTCTGACAATGCGGCATTGACCCGATACTCAGACGTTTGCTATGATTTTCTGATTTATTTGTCAATGACATCTCTGTTGGAGCATCAACCTTAATAAAAAAAAAAACAGCAGAATAAAGATGAAAGTGTTATGTTGCAAATGAAATGCTACTAGCATTAGTTAGGTGATCTGAAAAAATAATTTCCTGCCGGTTCTTTATGGGTCATTATGTGAAAATGATAAAACAACTGGTTTAAAAAGCTTCCAGCCACTCATGAGAAGGATTTACATTTTCTAAAATGGGTTGTAGTGTTGGTCTGACTGGATATTTGCTGCCACCCAGTGGATAGATTTTGAAACAACAGAATGCATCAACAGTTTTAATAACATTTCCATTGGGAACCCCTGAAATGTAGCCAATCTTAAGCTATTATATCAGCAAAAAAGTCCTATTTATATGAGCAAAAGCCACATCAGCAAACCTTCTCCATGTCTCCACATCACTCTGACATGCTGGATGCATCGTCTTCTGGACCAATTCATTGTAGTCTCCTTAGACATGGAGTTGATAGCAGTTTTACTACTTCTCAGAGGATTTAGGATCTGAGGATCTTCCTGATCACAGATCCAAAATTTCCTGTTTTAATTATTTATTAACATTTTAATCATTTATTTATCAATCTAACTTATTAACCAAGCTCCATATCTGCAGTAAACCACCACACAGTTCTTGGATTTTTGGAAGAAGTTGCAGAATCTATTAATCCAATATTTAATTCAGGGCAATGTTATCGGTGCAGACCACTCCCTTGGATCAGAAGCAAATTTGCATATAAAGTTTGTCAGGATGTTTTTATAGCTTCTGTCATGAAACAGTAAACCTGCAGAATCAGGGCCCTCTCTGAGCTGCTCCATCCATCAACCTGTCCATCTGTCCCTCCTTCCCACCCTGGTGTCTAACCTCATTGAGGTGGGTTACAACCTGGTTAGTTTACCAGACACCTTTAGGGGAATTTAGAAAGACCAATTAACCAAAGAGATGTTTTTAGACCATGGAGGTAGGCCAGAGTAGCCAGAGAGAGGCTACAGATGCATTGGGAGGAAATGCTAACTGAATCCTCACATTAGAGCTGATCAAAGGACCCTCTCTCTAAACGGCAACTTTAGTATCATGGTAGTCCATTATAATTTTTATACATCATGTTCAAGACACATTGAAAATAAATCACATTCTTATCTAGGATGAAATAACTAAAAAGTGCCCAAAGTGGCTCCAAAGTCCATTCTGCTCATTTTCTGATTGATCTCACTAGTGAATCCAGCAAACTCCATGCAGAAAGACCCCGGACTGGGGATTTGGGTCTATTTTATATGACATGGTTATAATAATATGAGTAGCTCTTTATTTTCTTCACTCTCTGGATATTTAATGTTTATATTTTACAACAGAATGGGATATGATTAAATGTGATGTGGATAATCCAGATTCCTTTAGATAGTCTTATGTTTCAGGAGTTTTAACACAATCCAATTAAATTCCAGACATAGATTCAATTTCCTTTACTTTGTGTTTGTTTTATTGACATCATTCTTCAAATTCTCCTTTAAGTGGTGAGTACATGCTCTCAGTTTAGTTTAACCTCCAGATCAGAGTAAATCTTAAAGCAATATACCTTCATGTAAACTGAAGAGACCTAATGTTAGCATCACCTCCAGTGCAAATAAAGAAAAAACTCACCTAGTGCAACTTTTACTTTACCAAATACAGTTTTCATGTCAGAGTAGGAATGACATATTTTGAGGTTATTTTTTTAGTCTTTTATTTATTTTCTCAATGTAAGTTCGTATGTTTTATTAGTTGTTTTCAAGTCTATTATAGCTTATTTTTTTCATTGATTTGAGTTGGGTTTGTCTTTACTTTGAATTGTCACTATTTCTGTGTTGTTGTATTCATTTCCTTACTCTGTGTCTTCCAGTGGTATCCCTGATTTAACACTCCTCCCCCATTCCGAGCCTTCTGTGTCTATGTTTTCTCATAGTTCATCAACAGGTTTCATTTGAGTCTTAAGTTCATCTGCCTCTAGATCAATCCAATTCTGAAAGACTTAAAATTTTGCTTGCGTCAAATATAATTCATAGCGAGGTTTAATTGTTATTCATTTCAAGTCCAGGTTTGAGAGAAGATTTTCCACTGACACAGGTGAAGGAAATAGGAACTCAGACTGTGAGAAAACACTTTAATCAACTTCAATTTCATCATAACTATTGACTGAAACCTAATACTTCTGATAAAAGCTGTTGAGTTGCTGCCAGCCTTTGACTTTGTCCGGTGAAGTAAGAGGTTATGAGCCAAAAAATTGCTAACAATGCTAGCACACATTGGCCATCCGCATGGCTTGATCCAGTAGCAATAAGGAAACCAAAATTCTGCAGTGGTTAAGTAACACTTTAAGAGTTTTAATTTAACACCAATCCAAGTGCAATTTGTCCTACTCTGAATTAGTGTTGAATTAACTCTTTACATTGTGTGTATCTTACTCCAGTTGTTGCTGTAATAACTCTAAAAGAGTCAATATAGTTTGACACTGCATATTTAACACTGGAATTTACCATGATCAACCCTAAATTGAATGTTTAGCAGCATTTTAGATTCTCAGTATAGTAATGAGCTGCTACTGCTCATAGAGTATCCATCTATCCATCCATCCATCCATCCATCCATCCATCCATCCATCCATCCATCCATCCATCCATCCATCCATCCATCCATCCATCCATNCATCCATCCATCCATCCATCCATCCATCCATCCATCCATCCATTGTCTGACACGTGTCAGTCAGCTCATAGAGTATCTTAAGCTTAATGAAACAAATACATGTTAGAATCCTCTTGTGCCTCTTGAGTGATTTGTATTATAAGGTTTTTTTTGTAGAGGCTGTGATTCCATCAAAAGTTTTCCCTTTCCTCTTTCTAAAAGCATCAAATCACAACTGTGTTAGCAAACCCATTGAAACAATAACAGCTAAACCTTTGCATTGAGTCCTTGTTTTATTTAAGAGAATCACAGCGTCTTATTCTTTATAATAATTTTTCCTGTCAGTCTCTAAGTGACGCAACTCTGGATTCTGCAATGGAGCTACTCAAAAAAAAGAAAAAAAAAAAAAAGAAAGTGAATTTAATCAAAAAAATGTTGGGGTTTAAATCAGCCCTATATTAAAGAATAGCTTCTACTATAGTATTGCCTTCTATAATCTCCTTCTACAATGTAATATAATTTTTAGTGAGGTAACTTCAGCCAGACTGGAGCTCAGTCTATGGGTTTTTATAGGAGCATGAGCATAGTGTGTTGGGTCAGGGACCTCTCTGATGCTAATGCCCTTATTGGGCCATCGATGCCATGTTTGTAGTTTTTGTTTACACTTTAGTTCTAAAATGTACTACTCACACGATTTAAACTGCTTTAGATAAATCAATAGAAATGTTTTTGCCTTCACGTCTGAGGCCATAAGTTTAAAGAGATAAAGATGGACTGCATATAAGATCATTTAGGATACACTGATCAAACAGGGAGCATAAAACAAGCAATAAAACAAACATTTTTTGGATAATCGAAACTGTTGATCTACTTGTTAAAGTGATTTTTTTCTGTGTTTGTCTAGTTTTAGGATCACCTTAGCATAGGGGAGGGTTAGTCAAACCTGGACAGGATCATCTAACATTTACAGTACCTTTAAAACTGAATTAGTTTCTCTTGAAACTTTTAATTAAATGAATACTAGTAGGTTTTCAGTAATCCCCCCCAAAATCTCAAATGATTTCCTTTCGATGAACCCCATCTACGTTATGGTTTCATCTCATTGGCTCTTTGTTTGCTGAGTTTCCTTAGAAACTCTTTAACCGGTCTGTTAGACTCTGTAAAGTGTCTCAACATGGCATGTATTATTAACCAGAGCTAAATAAATTAGCTGATTTGATTAATGTGTTACCAAAATAATTAGGAATACTTTTTTTTTTTGCTTTGTTTATCTCTTGCCCTTATAATAAACAAAAAAAAAAGAGAAAAAAAAACAATCAGACATGTTGCTTCTATAAAAATTAGACCCCTTTTTATTGTGTTCCATATATAAAAGAAATACAAAAAAGAAACATTGACAGCGAACGTCTGGGAGGGGGAGGGGGTGTAGGATCCAGGTGTGAATGGGTCCGAGTTGGGGTGAGATAGAAGGGGAACGGATAGCCGGGAAATTGGTTTGGGGACAGTCCCGGGAAATCTGTCCAACAGAACGCGAACAGAAGACGGAGGATGGAAATGCAGTGCAATGGCAACTTCCAGTCCTTCCATTAATCCACCATTTCTCAGTATCCCCATTAGAGTTTCAGTTAAACATCCGTTCATAAAAAGCAGAACTGCTTGTGATGAAGAAACATCATCATTGGTTGGATTAAACCTAAGTGGGTGGAACTTTAAGGGAACATTTGGGTCAAAACTTTGAAAAGTGGGTGATACTAAAAAGTGAACGTTCAGTTTTATATGACATTCATGATGTTGAAAACCCTTCAAAATAAAAGGAGCTTCATCAGGTTGTTCAAACTGCCCTTTGTTTAAGATTACAGATAAATTCATGAACCAGTTTACATTCATTTGAAGGAACTGAAAACACTAGACAAAGCCCCGGGGAAATGACCTCCACACCAATGATTCTACAGCTTCTACAGGCATTTCCATCTGACCTTAACCAGTTCGCAAAGGCATTTATTTTTTTAACAAAATGGAACAATTCAATCCCCTTAGCTTCTGGACTGGTTCCTTACAAAACACTGATAATTTTCTCTTAAGGCTGTCCTACAGTAGGTTGTCAGTTGGTTTTAGACCACAGACCTTTTGAAGACCCATTCAGGGCCAAGCTGCAGCTGTTAGACAGACCTCAGGAGATGAGGAGCTGTGCACTATGGTCAAACGCTCTACTTTTCTATACATAGGACATTGCAGATGTTTTAGAGGCATATTGTACACCTTACTTAACTTATTGCTCCAAAAATCCTTTTAGAGAGCTGGGTTTTCCAACCAAGGCTTCCAAACGTGCCATAGATCAGTTTGTTTTTAATTGCTTGCCTTTGTAGAATGATGGAGACTTAAGGCAGTTTGGAAACAGCCTAATTAGCCCTCCTAGATTGACACGTCTTCACGATAACTTTCTTAGGTCATAGCCCATGTCTTTATAACCTGATAAGGGATTAAACCCCAGCTGTAAACTTCAGATCAGCAAACTACCAAGTTAGACATTTTTCTTTCCTCCTACACTTACTTTCTCCCATGGAAGTATTGACATGTTCCCCCATGACTCTGAAAAGCCCTAAATGACATAAAATGATTCACATAGGAAAAGTAGCAATTCAAAAACCATGTGATAATGCAGATTTTTCTTAAATTAAGGGAAATCAGACAGTAGCAAGAACTAAAGATTATTGAGCAAAAACATATTTGCAATGCTTCACCCACTGAGGTTTAACTCAACCAGAGACAAGGTTTCTGAGCAGTTCTGACTCTAAGGAATCAATGTGGACCCAAAACTCGGCTGTGTGCTTCAGGACAAATCAGTCTTTTCAGGTGCTTCAGCGTGATGGCCCCCGCCCACCTCGGCCCCACCAGCCGCCAACAACGTCCTTCGGTTGTAGTGGTGGTGGCCCTTCATGATGCCCGAGTTGTTGTTCTCGTTGAGAATCTGCTTCTGCTTCTGCCGGTTGAGCGACTGCACCAAGCCCAGCACCACCGCTGCCAGCGAGTACTGGCCGGTGATTTTGCGAGGCTGCAGGATGAGCGGGTTGGGCTGTACCCGGCCCAGTAAGAAGTGTGTCCGGATTTTGCCCTCCTGCTCACTGATGCCCTTGACGTAGATCTCACCACGGTACTCAAAGGCAAAGCCTCGCTCCTTAAGGATCAGGTAGGTGTCCTCAGGCACCTGGATCTTCCCGCTCACGCCGGTGCTGTCCATTCGGCTGGCCAGGTTCACCGTCTTTCCCCAGATGTCATACTGCGGTTTCTTTGCACCGATGACTCCTGCCACCACAGAGCCGTGAGCCATTCCTGAGACAGATAAGACAGATCTTGTTTTAACCAGACGGAGATCTAAAATAAGGTCAGACATCATGGAAATCCATTTGTGATATTGTCACACCTTATAGGTCTTACATTTTCTCAGAGTTTACTTTGCACCCAAGACAAAGAGTGCTAATATGAAAACATTGCTAGACAGATTCCTTTAATCTGAAGTAAACCAATGCTGCCAATGTCCATACACTGGAAAATGATATAGAAATAAGTACAAATTTTTTAAATTAAGTTGTGGTCAGAAAATTTAGATTTCTCTTGTCTCATATATTTAGTTATACTATTTATCCAGTGACAAAATGTTTTTATTCAGTTTGTTTTACCTGCAAGGCTAAAAAAATATCTGAGTAAGGGTCGGTTTTACACAAAACATACTAATTCCCACGACAAGCCAAATTGTTTCTCAAGGTTTGTTAAAGCGAGTATGATTTGTTTTGACTCTGACACAACTTCACAGTTTTTTCATCAACATACTGTAACTAAGGGAGACAAACTCTGTCCAGTCAGAACAGAGCTGATTACTGTACCGTAAGGGCTGCAGATGAACTGTTCTGTCTTTGCAAAGAAAGAAAATAAAGTGCCGACTGAGTAAAATTCATTGATCTATGTTTATTTTACTAGGGTGAATAATTGAATACTTTTTTTCCCACTACAAAGTGTATTGACCCCTAATCTGAGTAGGTAAATGAGAGTTTGCCAATGGGATGAGTATTTCCACTCTTAAAATAAGATAATTAGATAATGCACTTGAAATTGGACAATGCAGTAGTTTTTTTTCTTATTTTAAATGTCAATTGTCACGTTCCATTAGCAACATTTTTACAGTGTAATATAGCTGCATTCGGTTATATTAATCTGTTTCTGAGATAATGAAAGCAAGTTCATGATGCAGATTAGAGAAACATGACAGGATCCAGAAAGGAGACATTTCTCATAACATGTGTTAAATAAATCCCTTGATTTAAGTTTTATTTAATTACTGTTGGATTTAAATTTTTTATGATAAAGTTTTTTTTTTGTACTGTTAAATTTAAGGTATTAAGTTATTCTACAAAACATAAAAAAAGAATACCATCTGTATTATCAATTAAAACACTGAAAAAGTAATCCTAGTAAAGAGATTTCTCATCAAAGCAATAATTACTTCCTAGTAAACACCATAGATCAGTATGTAAAACAATAATTTAAGCTGAACAGTAACAAAGCTCTCACCGATCCGTAGCTCAAAGTTGTTGAATGAATGCTTGTTGATCTCCTGGATGCTCTCGTTTAGGGCGATAGCGAAGTCCGCCAACGCACACAGGTGACCCCATTTATCTTCACATTGCTGTGAGAGAGAGAGAGGAGTTAGCTGAAGCACTTTGTTGACTTTTTAAGATTAGGCCAGTCAGATGAACTATGTCGGCTTATTGTTGGTTTAAACTGCAGTGATTACTGAAATCTTTACTCATGTTTTCATCTACAACCTACACATCAAGTCGCTGTCAACTGATCATCTGGTTCATACTTGTTTGACTCAAACAAGGATCCAGTAAATACAATAAGAAAACTCTAAAAGAATAAAAGCAAATGGGAAGAATCCTTGCTTGGTTTGAACGTATTTAGCAGAAATCATCAGCAGGTCAGACTTTTCTTATACCCTGGTGGTAAGTATGGAGTACCACAGGGTTCATTAATTGAACCTATTCTTTTTTAAATATATTTGCACGCTTTAATTTTGTTCAGATGAATGAAAAATGTTATTAAATGTAGTTATTATGATGATGGTATGCATTTCATTGTTTAATACGCCCTGACAAATGTTTTCAGTCATACTGAAGGTAAAAAGTTAAAAGTTGGTAAAAGGTGAAAGTTGGACCAAACTTCTGTTTTTTGTGGATGTGGTTTAAGCTTTGTAGATAAATTTCCTCTTTTAAATTAACCAGAAGATTTGTACAAATAACTATTTACAAAAAAACAAACAAACATTAAAATGTTTAAAAGATGTGGGAAAAACAAAGTAATGTTTGCCATTTAGCTACTGTATATTACTATATACACATACTGTATATACAATGTATGTCGCAGTTTGTTGGTTTTGGAACAGAGCTGGTAAATGGCCTGTTTCTATAGCATCTTAGGATGCCCAAGAACTTCCAATATACTACATTAAATCAATCACCCATTCACACACATTCACATGCTAAAACTAGCTTCATAACTTTGTCTCAGGTATCATAGTAAAAAAACGGTGGTATTTCAGACAAAAAATTATTTAACCTTAACTTATAAAAAACACCCAGAACTTCTACTTCTTCAAAAAAAAGGGCAGCTTGTAGAAAGTATGCAGTAAACCGCCACAATTGACATGTTCTTTACTGTATTTTTATTTTATATGGGGTTTCAATGATTTTACAAACTACTCAGGCTACTATATACTATAGGCAACTACTATACCTGCTCAGGTTATAATATAACACAATATATTCCCCTTGGTATTAATAAAGTATTTTTGAATTGAATTGAATTGAATTATTATAGAGATAAAGATATGACTTCATGATATGTGATCAGAACCGATCAAAGTGCAATTTCAAAAGTACCTTGTGAGTTCTGGGGAAGGACTTTGTATGCAGGGAAGAGCATGGTAGCTCCAGTAAAATGGCTCCAAGTTTCAACAAAGTAAACATTACTCCAGAAAGTTTAATTTCTCCCTCAAACCCAATGATTATTTGTAGGTCTTCCAAAGTAACATTTTAAGGAGTCTAATGTCCTATTATTAACCTCTGAAAAGTGACATAGTTTAAGGAAAAACGTATTATCTTTGATCCCGAAATAGTTAGAGGGCTCTGTGAATAATCAGAGCACTATAACAGTCCAGGCAACAGGGAGCCAATCAGACAGTTTGCAAAGCTTTTGCCTTTCCTGAAAACCCTCACCTGTTTTTCTGGTGACAGACCAGAGACGGCCATGTAAGTGCTACCGATGGTCTTGATCTTCTCGATGTCCTGAAAGCGTTCCTCGCCCAGCAGCTGTAACAGGAAGCAACATTCATTTATGTGTAACTAGATCTAAACTATAGTCTGTTCAACTAATTTCTGCTTATTTTGGACTATTTAGGACAAAAAACAAAACAAACAAACAAAAATGATAAGTTGTTTCTTTCTCAAAATTAACATAATGAAGAAGAATCCCAACTGAGAATGATGACTGATATTTCAGCTGGGATCTAACGTCTGTGAAAACCAAAACAAATTCAAGCACACTAAACTCCTCTTATTCTATTCTAACAACAACCAGTGAATTTTTCTCGAGTAGAGCTTACGTCTATCAGAGGTCTGAAGGAGCTGCAGTTTGTTTCTGCTCTCATTCGAGGGGTTTCACTCATTAAATGATGACTTAAATCACTCTGAACTCAAAATGTTTTAAAAGGTAAGGAAAAAATGGGAGATATCTACAACCACAAAAAAAAATAAAAAATAATAATAATAATACCTGCTGCATCATTCTTCATGCTGCAAGTTATTTAGGCAATGTCTACCAAATTTATAGATCCATTGACTAAAATGTGGTCATTTTTTTCAGGCTCAGTCAGATTAGCTTCAGGGTGTTTGTGAACAGCATTTTTCAAAGCTTGCTCCAGATTCTCAATTGGATTTTGTTCTCAGGTCTTTTGCAGGGTTTCTTCTATCATTGCCCTGTATTTGGCTCCATCTAGCTTTCCACCAACTCTGACCCTTCTGCCTATTCTTGCCGCCTGTGGTGGCAGCATCCCAAAGCATGATGCAGCCACCACCATATCTGAAAGTAGCGGTGGTTTGTTCAGAATGATGTGCTGTGTTAGTCATTTGCTATTTGCTATTTTGTTATCATAGTGTTTTGCATTTCGGCCATAATGGTTATCCATAATGGTCGTAATGGCATCATCTTTGCTTTGTTCCAAACATGGCTTCAGAAAATCTGCAACCATGACATCTAATGGCTTTTTTTCTTTTTTAACCATTACTTTCTCCTTGCCACTCTTTCATAGACCACACTTGTGCAGTGCATGAATAGTAGTTGTCCTGCGGACAGATTCCCTCACTTGTGCATTTCCTTGAGTCACCATTGTCCTCTGGACTGCATCGTTGATCAGTTCTCTCTTCGTTCGGCCTGTAAATTAATGTGGAAAGCCATGTCTTTGGAGGTTTACGTTTGTCCCGTACTCTCTCCGTGTTCAGGTGATGGACCAAACTGTGCAATATGAAATGTTAAACCTTGGTAAATCTTCATGGCCTAAGTTTGCTTTACACTTCTCCACAACATTATCCCTGTTCTTTCAGGTCAGTTCTTTGAACTTCACAGAGCTGTTTGCTCCCCGGTTTCGTCTTAATCAACCTCTGAGGCCATCACAGAGCAGCTGCATTTGTACTGGGATCAGATTAAACACAGGTGGACTATGCAGTACAAAGTGATAATCTGGAATATCTGAAGGCCCTTGTTGCACTCAGAGAAAAGGAGTTTGAATACTTTTAGGGTTTGAAAACTTCAGCAAGCTTTTTTTGAGAATATTTTTCTTTGCACTTCATATCATTTACCACTTTGTTGGTTCCATTGCAATATATTTATATTTGTGGTTGCAATGGTAAAAAATATGGAAAAGTTCAAGGGACAAAAACTAATGCCAACCACTGTAACTGGTAAAAAGCCTGAGTTTCTTCCTTTCCTTTGAAGGGGACACAGCACTGACCTCTCTATCTATTTCCTGCTTCAGTCTGTCACCATTTATCAACAAGACCCAAAGATATTTGATCTTCTCCACTGGGGCTGTGATTTAACCACAACCTGAGAGGGGAAATCTCCTTTTTCAATCCGTTACACACCATGACAAGAATATTTCCACTCCCAGATTTTTCTGTGGTGTTTCCTTCTTGGAATCTCATCTGTTACATAGATTAGAAGGGCAAAAAACAAGGATAGCTTTTATTCTGAAGTAGCAAAGCGATTTATTTTACAGTGAAGCCAGGTGGATCCGTTCTTTGAGCTGAAACAAATGCCCGCCTGCTGAGGAACTGAACCCCAGGAAAGTTTTACCATACTCATCATTCAATGTGTGCACATTGAAAGATGAATGCACATTTTATTCAAACTCTTTACGTGAACAGCTGTGAATGGATCAGAACTAGTCAGGTCAGATCTAAAAACTTCTAATACAGGTTTCCTTCTTTTCTTCCTTTAGGATTTTTGTAACGGATCTTGAAAGCATTTGTTTTTGTAATTTCTGAAGCTTACCTCATCAAAATCAGCGATGATTTCGTTGAGGAGCCTCAGGCACTCAACTCCCTGGTTGTTCATCTCAGTCTGGGAGTAGAAATCTGCAAAGCCTGGGATGGAGGCGAACATCACACCCACAGAATCATAGGACTGGGAGTACAGCTCCTGAGGAGAAACCGAGACAAGAAGAGCATCTTCAGACATCAGATGTTCAAGACGTTGATCAATGTAGCTGATGTTCTCAGAAAACATTGTTTTTATTTACTCAAAATGATCTCAAACGGATCACTGGTTATTGATGGTGAGATGTTACATACCAAGAGAAGGAGTCTAGAGGTATGAGTATCTATAAAAGTGGAAAAAAATAGGATGGACCTGTTTTTTCAGTTTAATTTGCATGTTTTGCCACAACAAGGCCACTCTATAAGCCTGAAACTCAAACACTACTCCAGACATGTTGAATTGAGAAAGCTTCCTGGATGAGACGCAAAATGTCTTCAAACATGGACACAAAGTCCAGTGGATTGTTTTTAAACTTTTTTGGAATGACTATGACCTGGATTGACTGATAATCTTCACTAGCATATTGAGTCTCTGGTTTTCTTTCTTGTTCTTTCTTGGTACACCACTTTTTTTCCCCATGTCATTCATTCAGAAACTTGACTTGTGCAACTCAACTCAACTCAAACATTAATTAATAAAGCACATTTAAAACAATGGGGTTGACCAAAGTGCTGAACAGAAATCACAGATGTAGTGCATAAGATCAAAACTGAAAGCTAAAATACATAAACACAATGCAAGAAGAAATATTGAATGGATATAAAATATAATAGGATACATTTTTCAATTTAAACAAATTGTGCAGCCATATTCACAATTGTGCAGCCATATTATTTAAAATTGTGCAGCCATATTATTTAAAATTGTGCAGCCATATCCAACCTTCCACCACCCAAAATAAGACATTCCTGTTCTCCTTGTTTGAATTGTCCTGTTCTAAAATGTAACATTTAAACAATTAAGATGTACTCAAGGGGATTTCTCTTATTTCTTTTCCACATGCAAATAACCTCTTTGCTCAAAATTAGACTTAAGAACTTTAGGAAATATCTTTGTAACCCCTCCAGGTTTATAAGAAATCTACACATATTTATAAACAAAGATGATCCTTTATATCTTCATCTTTGTTCAATGAATAACGACAATGAGGAATCTGTTGCATTTGTTGTAAACTAAGAATTAGTTGTAAATCCTTCAGATTATTTCTGATTAATATCCTGACATGAATAAAGGCAGTGTTTACTTTTGGTGCGATAAGCAAAGAATCCTTCTCAAAATCACTGCAACATTGAAGAGGAGCTGCATTAATGAAAGGGGAATGCAATGCACCGTTTCCACCGTTAGGGGGCAATGTTTACCAGTCCAAAATCTGTACAGAAAGTCTGCAGACATGAAGCAGCATATCCTCACATCCCATCCACGTCACGTTCAGTACTTCATCGTTTCATTATGGTGGTATTGTAATAATAGGGTGATGAACATAACATCCAGCCACAGTTTAACATCTCAAGTTAATAATTCAAGAGACGCTCTGTCTGTCCGTTTGCTGCTCTGGCTCTTAATGTAATTACACACTTGTGGAAATAGGCCCCTGACCAGAATGGAGCATCATCAGTGACAATATAGACGCCTAATGAGCTGAGTCAAGAGTCCAAACTTCAAAGGGAACCTGGTTTAAGTCAGACTAAATGAATTTCTTGGTTTCATGCCATGTCGCTGTGTAAAGACATCAGACAGACTTTTTACGGTTCCTTTTGAGTTCTCTCCTAAAAACGAAGCCACTCTGATAGATTTATGCTCTCTGGGTTTCGGGTGTTTTGTAGAAACCTTACCTGGAGCTAAATTTGTAAAAACAAAGATCAAACTTTTGCAATCTCCCTTATATGCTCTGCATCATAACGAATCATTTGTTTGGTCTTTAGAGTGTAATGTTTTAATTTGTTTTACCTGCTTATCACAACATGTCAAAATATACGGAATACTACAGAAAACAACCCCTTTACATCACAAGCAAGATCTATAATTTCATTGTAAAGCAGTGTGTCATTAAAAATGAGTGAAGGTTTGATTTTGTGTTTTGTCTAAACTATTCACAATAAATAACGACTAAATCATATGGAGTCGGTAATCTGCTACAAAAATAGTACTTAAGGCCAAAGCCCCGGCTCACTTATTAAATGTAACCCAGTACTTTTCAGCTGTCCCATTATGGAGGGGGGGAGTTACTGCATATTATGGTCCAGCATAAGATATCATTATTAACTTTTTAAAAGGAAGCAAATGTAATTCTTCAAACTACATAAGTATAATCAAATTTGACTCTTGGAGAAAGAAGCAGATGCTGGATCCAGATCTGTGATAATGATGCACTACAGATGGAGGAATCTGTTCAAAAACTATTAAACTTGAAGCTAAGGAGGTAAAGATGACTTATCTAGAACTGAAGAAATGACCTGGGATGTCTTTAGTCAAAAATATTCAAACAATCAAATCAGGTGTTGATGTTTTGGTCATGTCAGGTTACCTGACCTCAGCATCAGGTAAGCATGCGATGAAATAAAATTGGAGTTCTATTTACTATTTACTTAGAAAAATCTAAGTAACATTTTTTCACTTAGAAATTCTTTATAAATTTCACTCAATACATTTTACTAACTAAGAAGAGTTAATTTAACAAACTCAAGTATATTTTACCACCAAATTTTTCCTATTAACAAAAGATGTATATGTGTTTTGCTAGTAAATCTTATAGAGAGAGGCACAACAATGACCACACAAGAAGAACATAGAGAAGCCAATTAACCTAACACTCTTTTTTTTTTTTGGACTATGGGAGAAAGCCAGAGTACCTTCAGAGAACCCACCCGTGCACAGGGAGACATACAAACTCCATGCAGAAACACACTGGATCAGAGAGCAAATCCTAAAACGCATTGTTGGAAGACAGCAGTGCTAGCCACTGCGCCACACTACAGCCAAAAAATAACATTTTATAGTTCTGACCTAAACATCTTCCGCTAAGGAAAAAAAACAAGTTTACTCCTAATATCCAAGTATATTTTACCTGCATCAGTTAAATTGAGAACTTATTAAATTATCTCTTAAAACCATTTAGTAGGATTAAGTAAATTAGCTTGTCTTTTGATAGATTTACAAATTAATTCTAAGTAACTGTCCCAGTGGGGTGGAGATTTGACAGGAGGACCCAATGCAGACACTAAAGCACAAGAGGTTACTTGAAGATTTAATAACAAAATGGTAACAGAAGCAAAAATCCAAAAACATAAATCCACGAAAATCCCAAACTACTAAAAACCAGGAATAATCACAACAAAGGGGCAAAGAAATGACAACAAACTAGTAAAGAGTGACTGAACAAGAGAAGAAATACCTAGAACACGAAAATGGAAATAAGACCAATGAAAACTCAGAGATAAAAGTTGAAGAGAACCAAAACCATGACAGTAACACATTAAATAAACTGTGTCATTTTGAAGTATTGTTAAGACCCTTTCATGGCAATTTGAAGTAAACTTTAAATAAAAGCTGAGGTTATATTTACATGACCAAAAAGTCCCTTTTTTTCAGTGTGCCTTTGAGGTCAGGGGACCCGCTGGTTTTAGACATTACCATGACTCGACTCATGATCTGAAGAGACAGAGCTTTCTAGGTTGTTGCCTTCAAAATATGGCATGATTCATAGTACAAAGCATGACTGTTTTTTTTTTATCTCATTCTAAGACTCATCTTTTTAATTTGGACTTTTAATTCCAACAAAACAGAAGCTTCAGATGGAGAATGTATGTGTTTGGAAGTTTTAAACCTGTCGGATCAATAAAGGTCAAAATTAAAATTCACTCCTTGTATGCACCATCGATATTCTCTACACTTCTCTGCTTTTGTTTCTAATTCTTTAGCTAAACCAAAAAAAAAAATACACTTATTCAATTATGATTAAATTATTTGGAAAGCATAAAATCTTAGCTCCAACAAGGGAAATCTTACAGACCTAAAATTAGTATACAGTACAGAAGACGATCAGGTAAAGGATCATGTATCTTTAGAGTGAGTCCAGTATCAGGTTTCTTAAGAATGTGAGTTTCAGACATTTACCTGCCAGAAACATAATCCTTAATAAGCCTGATGCCTTTTCTTTTGTCTTTCAGTAGTCTAGTGTCTTCATTATGCGAGACGGAACTGAGCAAATTGAAATGGTGTCATTATCAGGTACTAGGCTGAAAAGGAGTGAAAATCGACTTAATAGAGAGCAACCTTGAAAGACTTTAAGGACACCTTAAGAATGACTGATCAAGATCACTTTAAAAGATCAGGAAGTTTGTCTCCTTGCAAGCAAAGACTGAATAAGTATTTAAAACTCTAACGCAGCAAGTTGAGTAGACTTTCAATCTGACATTTTAAAACAACAGAACTCTGATCTAAGATTCACATGTTACCCTGGTGCTGAAGCTTATAGCACAATGAAATGACTGAACTAAAATTAGTCATCAGTGTTTAGTCAAAATGTGCTCCTCAAGTGTCCTTCATGTCCTTAATCAAGCATAACAGAAGCTTAAATTGGAGACATCATCAAAATGTCTCCATGGGTCTATGTATAGTCTGGTGCAGTGGAACCTAAATCACAGAACAATAATCAGCCTGATTAATATTTTAAGGACTGATTAGGACCCAGAGTGTTTTCTGATGGATGCATTTTTAATCATGTTCTTTAGAACGAAGAACGGGGCATGGGATCAGCTCTCCTCCACCAACATCCATAATTCAGCTACAGCTAGACCTTTGTTTGGGAGGGAGGCGGGAGAAATGGGAGAGAAGGCCACCTGAGGACAACCATCATCCCGGCCAAAAATCACTCAGTACAGAGTTTATCATCAAAAATAATGAAGCATTTGGATTTGGAGATTAACAGGGGATTATTCTCTAATTTGAAGGTGAGGAAAAGCTTCAACAATTTGCTGATGGAAATTTGCCCCCAAATATTCATCTCAGCTGCCGGCAGCTTATCAAAGGGAGAGTATTCAAATGAGACCCCCTTAGTTTGATTAGTCTCAAAAGTCCTATTAATAAATATATATATTTTAACC